GTGGAGTTCGTATGCGACATGCCCAATGTATGGATGCTGCCGATAAAGAAACGCATCATTCACGCTGTGGTCCCAAGGTCATTCGTATTTTTTACGGGTCTTGGATCCTCTTAAAATTGGTTTTTAGCACGATAGAGAACCATGTAATGAGCATATGTGCACGGCATGGTCGTTCGGTCAGTGGTCATCATGTTCGGTAACCTGTGGTGATGGAATTCAAACTAGAGATGCGATTTGTGTCGATAGAGATGGGCGGCAACTAGATGCTGGTATGAACGAGAACTGGTCCCCGTCAGGCGCGAAATAGAGATTTTCTACTTCTAGGGAGGTGCAACTACCGTGAGCGTATCGTGCAGAAGCCATGTTCTCGTCCAGCTTGCCCATCCTGGAAAGTTGGCGAATGGACTCCGTGCAGTGTAAATTTCCTCATAAATTCCCCGAATTTGTCGTTGCGGTTTACTTACCCATTGTTCAGGTTTCCTGCCAAGATGGTTGGTCTACACGACGGGTATCATGTGTCAATGCCTTTGGTGAAGACGTCCGATCCGAACTGTGTCTGCCACGAGGAGACCAACCGGCTACACATCGACAGTGTAACCAAGGCCCTTGTCCATTCTGGAGGACAACCGACTGGAGTGCGGTAGGCGGAGTTTCCAGAGCTGACGAGTTTGCCGAATCCTCCATCTTAGTGTTCGGTCTCATGTGGATCGGGTGTGCGACGACGTACGGCTGAGTGTATCTATCGTGAACAAGTGGTCGATCAGTCCTTTTGTGGTGATGCAAGTCCGCCAAGCATTCAGCAACCGTGCAAGTGAGTATTAACCTATCAGCGCACATTTTTTATAATTTTTGAACATAATTTTCAGTCTGGTACCCTGTACCTCATGGGAGGTGTCAGCCTGGGGACCGTGCTCCGTCACATGTGGAAATGGTACCCAAACACGGCGTGCTCACTGTGTGTCAGGCCCGAAGAAAGAACCCGTGAAGGACTTTCTATGTGACAAGGTTAGCACTGAGCACCAGCAACCCGTTTTATCTGCCCAAAAATGTCCTTTTTT